ATTACATGTCTTCATTATTGTGTCTGTACCCTAAATCTTAAAATCTCCAACTTTGCGCTTCATTTTCACAACTGTTTATATCTTCTGGTTTCTTTATATTTCCATATGAACTTCAGAAATCAGTTTGTCAATGTCTGCAAAAAAATCTTGTTTAGATCTTGATTGGAATTACCTTGAATCTTCAGGTCAGTTTGGGGGAAATTGACAACTTAACAATTTTGAGTGTTCTGACCTATGGATACAGATATATTTTTTTAACTGACACAACATTGGTTTACAGCACTGTACATGGTTTAGAGGTATAAGCTCACACTCTTCAGGTATATCTTACCACACTCCCCCCACCATCAAGGCACATATAATCCTCCTTCATTGTGCCTTCTCTACACTGCTTTCCCCTCTTTCTTTCTAGTAGTTTCAATTCTATAGTCACTTTTCAAGGGTTTTTTATTGGTTTGGTTTCATCTGACCCTTTGTTTTGTTTCTCTATATTCCACATAAAAGTGACATCATTCAAGAAAATTTTACTTTTTCAAGTCCCTTAGAAATAATACCTATCATATTTATTTGCTTTTGTAGTTTATTAAATTTTCAAAGCACTTTGAGGCCATGATTTCCTTTTACTCATACAAATACTTTGTGAACTAGAAATGGAAAGTCATTATCATTGGGTATCTGAAGAAATCGAGGAACACAGCAGATCACATATCACCGAAAAATCACAGTGGAAGCTAGTAAAAACTTAGTCCATTCTCTTCTGGGATGTTTCTTAACTAGAGTCTTCTATGTACAAAATGGAAAAGTTTTCTTTTTCTATTCACATGAAAAAGACACTCATTAAAGGATGTTAGGTGACCCCCAATCTCCAGAAGAACCAGGAGGCAGTCTTTGAGCTTAGCTAGCCCACATAATATCTAAGTCAGACCCATTGCTTAGTTTTCAGGGTGTTAGTTATCTCTGTCATTGTGAGGTAAAAGACCCATATGCTTCTGCTTCATTGTTTTGTTCTTTTCTAAATAGTTCACTCGAGAGAATATGATTAACAGTCTAGGTCACTTATCTGAGCCTGCATTCATAATGGGGAAACCTCCTAAACATAAAAGTGATATCCAAAGGAACTGAGTGACCTTACCATGACCAGGTACATCTCACAAAGCATTCTCAAAATCCATGTGGGTCACAGAATTACAGTAGTTTGGAGACTGAAAGAGATCTTTTAAATTGCCAATGTTTTCTAAATTTTAGGCCATGACTCATTAGAGAGTCATAAAATCAATAATATAAACTATAGTGTGCACCACAGTTTTAAAGGATAAAATAGAATTGAAAACACTACCATGCATTGCACTTAGTGAAAGTAAGTACTGTTTAGTGAAACTTTTGTCTTAATTATATGTGTCTATACTTACATAGGTGTGTTATAACCCTCAAAGTAAAACATGTATTTTTACCATGAATCATAGTTGCAAACAATTGAAAAAACATTAATCATATCTAGCCTCTTTATTTTACATCTGAAGGAGCAAAAAAATAAGCTCAGAAAAATCAAATACTTGCTCTGGTGGTTAATGTAAAGTTGGAATCAGGATATACACAATGTTTCAAGCTTGTGCTCTATTGTAAGAACATCACCTATCACCTGAAAGAATACTTAGTATTTTCTATGTAGATATCTTCCTACATTAGCCCTGTTACAATAAGTAAATGTATTTCATATTACAAAACTATTATTAATTTTATAGTTGCTTTTGGAGTTAGGCAGTAGTTAATGATTGTCACTTGCTATAGCTAATACAAGTCTTACTACCATCCTGCACATTAACTCTGGAAAGATAGCTAATCTTGATTATTTTAAAGATTTTTATGTTGGTAGATTTAAGAGTTGCGGGGAAGACATTGGAATGTAGCTATAAACAAATTTTTAAAAATAATTCTATTTTCAATATAGTAATTTAAAGTTGAACAATGCCGTAATGAATGAAAACATATCACCGAAAATATTCATTTTCTTGTTAGTTCTCTACTATGTTTATATCAAAATATTTAATATATATTCCAAAGAAAGTTTCTATGATTTGAGATAAAATAGGAAAAGGAAAAACTTTTCAATGTTTTTCTGTAGTATGTCTAATAAATGATACAACTACATTAAAAAATTTTGAGTTCTAAAAAGGTACTTAAATTATAGGGATATTTTTATATTCATGGGTAGGAATTATACTGATGATCTATAAATATTTTCAAAATAATATACATTTTACTTTTCTAGTCCTTAACTGAATTTCTAAAAATTCTATTTCTAAATAGCCATGAGCTTTGGCCTGTTGGGATATACCTCTACTTTCAATAAGGAGGTTCATTCAATCCTTTTGCAATATTGATGTGCATCATTGTATGTTTTATAAACATAAATTTAATATTAATACTTCCATTAAACAACAATAAAGCCTAATTGTTTCAGATTTTGATGACAAAGAAGGTCAAAAAGGAACAGATAATACCAAATATCAGTGAAAAATAAAAATAATTAATGCTTTAGATAATTCAGAGAACCTATACTACTACTGCACAATCTTCTTTCTCCTACAAAAATACTAAATAAAGGTAATGATGAAGTATGCCCAGAAACTTTCTATTCCTTAATTCACTGGCACAAATCAGTTTTGATAGGATTTTAAAAGCTTTTTATCACCAATTAATATTTCTGGAATTCTCACTGAGTATAGAATGCACTATATTTGTATATGTTGACTCTTCACATTGTGGGAATTTGTTTTCCTTATAAGCACTATAAAAGCAAACAAAGAAGACAAGGCTTTATTCTTACCCAAGGCATTTTTCCTATGTTGAGTGGTGTTTTGTTTTTTTTGTTTTTTTGACATAGGGAGCTTACTATTAACATACCAAATGTGCTTGGAGAAGGGTTCAAAAGTTGGCTAGGGACAGCAAAAAATAAGGGTAAGAAAGTTATCAGGCATTTAGAGCAGTAGTTAGAAATGCCTCATCCTCCCAGACTGTCCTGCTCAAACCAGTGAAATCAGTGAATAGTTCTATTTCAATGTCACTTTTTCCAACAGTCATTGAAAAAATTAGAGAATTACAAAATAGTCATATTTACAGTTAACAAAATGTTGTTATCACATGGGCTAAAGATGCTGATGTTTTCCTAGGCATAGACTATATTCTTTGACTATAGCAGCAAATCTACTTCCTTCAGTGAATCCCTCTTACCAGCAATTAGAACAGTTATTTTTCTTAAATGGAAAATCCCATTACCATTCTTCCACTACCTTAACAGAAAGTTTTTTCCCGTAACTAATCACAGTAGAGGAATGTTATAAACTTCCTTTTTATATTGTGGTCTATTGCCAGGAGTCATAGTCCTCTTAAGCAAACTAAGTATAGGTTTTTCCTCAGTAGATTTTTACCCTTGCCCTGTTTGAATTCATGCAAATTTAGAATAAAAGCCAGCTGTCCAATTTCTATGTCTTGAATTACTTGTTAAGAAAGTATTAACTAGGGCATTCCTGGTGGCGCAGCGGTTGAGCGCTGCCTTGCGAAGCTGCACAGCCTCTGCAGGGCCGGTTCGATCCCCGGCTGCTCCCCAGCCACCGGAGGAGGGTCCCACATGGCACGCAGACCTCTCCTGCCGCCCGCTGCTCCCCTCAGCAGTGTACTTCGGTCCTTCTGCCTGCTCTGCTCCCCGCTCTGGCTCTGGTGAATTCTCTCACCCTCCCGCGCTTCTGACTGTACCCAGTGCATGTATAAACAAAACAAACAAATAAAATAAATAAATAAAACATGCCTCTATAAAAAAAAAAGACAATTTGAGAAGATACATCAAAAACCTTAGCAAGTTTAACTGTTTGGTTTAGAACCCTGATTTTGACAAATCTGGCCCACTCACATATGTAATTAAAGAAATGGATGAGCACGTGTATAAGCCCGTTTATCACAGAATTTGTAATAAAGAAAACTGGAAACAAAAATACACAATAGCTTGATATTGCTTACTGAAATAACAGATTATTAAACACCCACCAATAGATATGAATATGAAATAAATTTGAAATAAATATGCATAAGAAAGAAACGTTAACAGTCGTTATCTCTCAGTTGTGTTTCCAGGTGACTTTTACTTCCTATTCCTTTCTGTATTTTCCAAATTCCCTTCAGTGCACGTCTTTACTTTTGAAAAGGACTTAAAAATTCATTTTTCAGTAGTAATAAGGGGGAAAGTTCTTTTTTTAACTACAGTTCATGACAAAATTTCAAGGCCCCCTCTCTTTCCAAATAAAATTCCCCCAAATAAGACCACCACATCCTCAGTTTATTAGGCACCCCAGTGTAATTTCGCTTTATAATTATAATTAGTTCTTCTCAAGTTTATGTGTGTTTGATCTGCCTCTTTATAGTGCCAATAGGGACACATCCTCCAACTTAAAATTCCATCAATCTTACTTCCTTGCTCCCCCCCTCTATCTCCTCCTGGAAAGTGAACTACTGTGTTCTTCAGGGTCTTCATAATTCAGAAGATGGCAAATAAAAGTTACACAGTGCCAGCCTTTAACATTTGCATGAAATCATTCACTAAAAAGTTCTCATTGCTACAATTTTCAAACCATGTCACATACTACCAATAACTGCCTAGCCAAGGACGGGGGCTGGGAGCTGAGGTGCAATACCCACAACTTAAATCAATGTAAAATTCTCATCCCATTCACTCTCCGACACTCCAGCAGCCTAAGCACCACTTCAGGAACTGATGAGAATTTGTCTCTCTGGAAAGCAGAGCTCCAGAAAGGGGGACACCCGGGTCACCACAAAATTTCCTCAGGGCATCTGTTGTAGCTTGCGTTTCTCCTTCCTGCTCTTCCCTTATCTACTATTGCTTCTCTTGGACACTCCTTTCTCCGTTTCTGTGACTTTTGCCCAGCACTGGCACTAGGGGCATTAACAATTGCTGGCCCGGGAACCACAGCAGCCTTTGGTTGCCATACCTCTCCTAGCGCCAGGGAGAACATTGTGGGGTCCCTCGAAGTGTAAAATTCCTGTGCTGCCAAGTCATCCCCCAAACGCTTCTCAGGACTATGCAGCTAAAGGGATCCTACAAGTGACTGACAAGACGCAGTCGGGGATCAGGTAGTGTCCCTGGGCCCCTCACGACGCCACACCACAAACCGCAGAGGCTAGCGCGGCTGGAGAGCCAGAGGAAAGCCAGCGGGGCTGCAGGAGGATGCCCGAACTCAGCAAACTCAGACGCGCATGCGCGGGGCTAACAGCCTCTCGGGCTCGCATCAATGCGCCTGCGCACAGAATCCCAGGCCGGGGGGGGGGGGGGGCGGGGAGAAAGAGCTGCTCTCCGGTCCTGCGCTCCCACTGCTTCTGCTCCCCTCGGCCTGCTAGCCCCGCCTTCCCAAACAACTGGGCGAGCGGCCGGCGCTCTCCTTCCATTGGCCCTTGGCCCTTTCCGTTTCCGCCCAGCCCTCCGCAGTCCGCCAATCAGCTTGTGCATCGGGGTGAGGGCCCGCCCCCCCAGGCCATCGCTGCGGGTCCTTCGCCTCCTCCTGCTGCTGCCTCCGCTGCTGCCTCCTCCTTCCCCACCTCCTCCGTCAGGCGGGCGTCTGCGGGGACCCGAGGGGCGGCGGCGGCAGCGGCGGCGGCGGCAGCGGCGGCGGCAGCGCTATGGAGCTGGGGGCCGGCGACCGAAGCGCCGCTCGCGGGCAGGGGGCCGGGCCCCCGAGCACTCCGCCGCCCCGCGAGCAGGCGCGGAAGCTGGAGCAGGAGAAGCTCTCCGGGGTGGTGAAGAGCGTCCACCGGCGGCTCCGCAAGAAGTACCGGGAAGGTAAACAGCGCCGGGGCGGGGGGTCGAACGGGGGGGGGCGGGAAGCCGCATCCCCCCACCCCTGTCACCTCTCCCCGCCCCCCAGGGGCCACCATTACCACCTGAGGGAGCCGCACGTCAGCCCCCGCCCGGGCCCGTCCGCCCCCCGGTCGGGCTGCCCCGGCGTCGCGCTCGCTCCTCCGCCCCTTTTCTTCGCGGGCCCCGCGGGGCTCCGGGCCTGAGGGGGCGCCGGTCCTCAGCCCGCGGGTCTGCCGCGCCCCCCACACGGCGGGCCCCGCGGGGGAGGGGGTCGCGCGCGGCGTGAGGACGGAGCCCGCGGGCAGGTACGGTCGTCCCGGGAGGCCGCGGCGCCCGGCCGCCCCCCACCCCCCCACCACCCCCGCGCCGTTGCTGCCCGCGGGTCGGCGCTTCCGAGGGCCGGTTCCGACGGGGCGAGCCCGGGCCTGGCCGCCGGGCTGCGGAGTCAGCAGCAGGCCTTTCGGCGGGCCGGACCGCACCTGGGGCCGCGGACCCCGGATCCCAGCCGTGTCCGCCGCCTCTTTTTCTTAAAATGCTTGATTGTTACGATTTTGCTTAGGCGGGGAGGACGCGTTCTGGGGGCAGTTCTTAAAATCCTGCTTAGGTTTGAATCGTCTATGCAACCTGCAAGCCGCCTTCGGACAGAGATGCGGGTCGGCGAAGCTGGCCGGTGCTGGGGAGCCTCCTGGAGAGGATCCTCCGGCGAGGAAGGCGGCGTCGGCGTTTTGGCTTGTGCCGGAGGAGGGTTTGTAGTTGTGGGCCTGTAAGGCCTGTGGTTATCTTTGGTGTTTTTAAAATAGAGGCTTCCTTTTTTTTTTTTTTTTTTTTTTTACAAAGCTGTTTTGTAAGATTTTGACAGTGAAAATTCCCAGTTATTTCATATCCCCCTGGTAAATTTCGTGTGAGTGTCCAAATAAAGGGGAACTCTCTCCTTGCTCTTGCTTTCACTTAATCGCAAACTGAAAAGTCAGCAGTTTCTTAGTCTTATACTTGGTTAATAATTTAGAACTGGATGCAAAATTGTGACAGCAGAGGAGCAGACATGTAACATCATGTTGCTTTGGATGTAGACACACTTTTCAGTTACTCTGAGAGATTGAAACTAAGTGTCTTTTGTTCCTTTGAATGTAGTTGATGTATTTCATTTCTCAAACTTTTAAGTTCAAAGTTTTCCTTGTTGGCACCTCCAGGCTAGCGTTTTAAATAACTGCTTATATGACCATTCTCAAATGTGGCTTATAGTTACTGTTTATAATGGGTAGCAATAGATAGAGACTTATCAGGCATAGGTAAGGTGTTGAAATTTGTTTTTTAAAAGAATGCTTTAAACCTCAACCCAATTTATTCAATAAAATGAGTAGTTACCATAGCAACCATTGCATCATTTTTGGTATTCAGAGAATGCACTTACATAATGGTAGTCATTGTAAATTTCTATGTTGTTTGGAGAAATGAAGAAATAAATGAACAACTTCAATTTATCATGCTATTTGGTATAAAATTAAGCAATTTAAAGAAAAAAGATTAGCTTATTCATTGTTTAAATAGATTCTACTCAACACACTACTAATGTGTCATCATATCTTCAAGTGCTGTTTATTCTTGTTTAGTTCTCATATGTTGAAACATGTCTTTTAAGCCTGGGTATTAACCAGGGGACACTTGTCTATAATGAGAATTGGTAGATGGAAGTTACCAGAGCTAGAATAGATACTTCTAGTTCCTGAGTAAAAATTCTAGTGTACCACTGGGCGGGTAACATCCTTGCAGACTGTACATATTTGAATGAGACTGTTCTTTAGGTGTTTTAATGTCTAGTTCCACCAATGATCTAACCTTCTCTAGCTGTATTCCAGTGACATAAAAAGGCCTATCAATGAACTTGAAAAGTAAAGGAATCTGATGACTATCCTTTCTACTTTTATTTCTGACTTGTGAGTCAAATCTTGATTTGACAAAAATCTGTAAAAAGAACCATCTGTGAAAAAGTCTGATTGTATATACAATAATCCCAAAGAAATAATTTTTAGTATTTTCCTATGAGGTCATAGTATTGTTCTAACTAATGGCCCCCAGTCTGCAAGCATATTTTACAAGTTTATTTGCAAGTTTGCTCTGGTCATAAAATATTGCAAATGGTGCTTAAGTGCTAGGTCAGCCTGCAAAGGCCTATTTAATCAGTAACAGACCTGACCTGTAAACCAATAACTATGGAAACTATATATAGTTTTAATAATTGTCCCATCAGAAAATACAGTAAAAATTCCAGCTTAGACTCTTGGAATTTTAGACTAGAAGGAACTTCAAACGTTTTTGTCAGTTATTCCCAGACATGAATGATTGCTAGGGTAACCACGGATGACTTTTAGAAAATTCCTGCATCCCACCTCAGGTGTACAGTTTCAGAATACCTATCATTGGGGCTTGGAAATTTCTAAGCTAGCTCCTGGAGTGGTGATCTAAACTAGTGCCTGCCTTTTTCATAAGTGAACTAAATCCCAAAACTATTACAATAACTTGCTTGAAGTTAAATAGTTCATGTTAGAACTATACATATTTTATGGGAATGAGTTTTTCTTTCCAATTCTAAATCCAATGGTGACCCCAGATTTTGGTGGAATCAGAGGGGAAATGGGAAGGCAGGAAGTAATCCTAGAATTTTACTAGGTGAAAGGATATAAATTGATGGTAATGCAGTAATCTCTGCTGGGTATGAATGGAGTTGAGGCCATGTGAGGTATGTGGGGTTTTGGAAGAGATTGTAGGAAAGGAAATAAGTTGGGGTAGAATGAAGAAGGAGATAGAATAATCATGCAATAGTAAGGATTGGAGTAAGAACTAGATAATGAGTGTTGGGCTAGATAATACGATTTTCCCTTCCCTTATCCTGGTAGCAGAATTGAAAATGAAGCAGGAATAAGAATGAAAATAGGAGTTTTTGGCTGTGGTAGGAGAAGATTTCTCTTCATCCTTCAACCATCCATTTGTCCAACTGGTGCTTATTTTTTGGTGATGAGTAGGTTTGGAGTGGGGATGTAGGGTTGGGCAGCAGATTGGATGGTAAAAACTAACAGGTAGGTTTAATATACTTTTTTCTTCTATAACTTTTCTCTCCTCATCCCATTCCATTTTACTGCCTGTCCTGTGTCTCCACTTAGAGATCCTTAGCCAATTTGTGTAAGGGTAAAGTGAGAATTATAGATAAAGGTCTGTGTTCCAGGCAGTGCTGGTATCTGAAATAGTTACCAAGAGGAAATGATAGGAAAATGTCTAGCAGTGGTGATAAGGGATGTTTCTGATGTCAGCCATTTATAGGTAAGAGACAGTCTTTCAGATTAAGTTCATATAAATTGAAATATGCTTGTAGATATAGATAAGTGCTCTCTGTATTTGCTGTGCAGAATTCTAAAAATAAGGCCTTCATATAAACTAAAAATATTTAAAATATTTTAAAGAGTTATAGATAGCTTTTTAATAATAATAAAAAAAAAAAAAAACAGCCAGTTTTGCTTTCCAGCAGGGACTTCACTGGAGTAGAGCACTATGTATATTCAGTTAGTTGTTTAGTTGCCCTTGTATGATTTTTTTTCCATAATGCTAGTCACATAATGTTTGATTGTTATTATGCCTGACATCTTTTTTTTTGCAAAACTTAAAAAAGTATTTATGCAAAAATACCACGAAAATGTAAAGGCTGTAGCTGTTAGGAGTAAAAGTATGATATCCATTCCATGTAGTTTTGTTTATTTTTAACTATTCTGTGACTGTCTTTATAATAAATTTCATAAATTTATTCAGACTTACTTACCTTTATACCCAAATAGATTAAAACAGTTTATAAATCAGTGAGAGAAGAATAAGAATACATATTAGTCTGATGATATTCTCAAGGTCATGGGGTTATAGTTAATCATTGTTAATATGAAAAAATGTTAAAAATGATAATATTTTAGAAGTGGTTAAATAAAACAAGACATTGCTGACATTCACGCAAAAAAGGAAAATAAAGAATAGATTGGTTCTATAGACTTAAATCCAAAAAACAATGTTTAACAGTTGTTAAGCAGCATTTTAAGAGTCACCAACTTAATAGGATCGTTTAGATGTTTAATTCTTGTTCATTATTCAAATTTTTTATTGTCTGAGACAAAGGGTAAACTAGACTAGCACTTTAGGATAAGATGAAAATACATTTGTAATTGAATATTCTTTAGCAAACACCTATAACAAAATTGGAGGAAGGGAAAAACCTAAAACCAAAAGGCCTAAAGTTTAATGTTAGTATTTTCTCTGAAGTAAATTTTGACATTGCTTTCAAAATTGGGATAACAGACTTTGTTTTCAAAGTTGAGAATAAAGAAAAAAATTTCT